GTCTTGTCTGCAGACTTGCAGCATTAATTCATGTTTTTTACTAACCGGTATCAGTATGTAGTTACTTCGGCATAATTTTGAAACGTGTATTACAATTAAATCACTGTAAAATAGGTTAATTTCGTTTTAGCTGGTTTCCACCACAGTATTTACATGGAAATAAGCCCCGCCCCCTCTCCAGCGCGTCCTGTTTGAATGACAGGAGTAAACAGCTGACAGCCGCAGTGAAACTCCACGCGTTTAGAGCGATGAGAATATTCGCATCACGTCCGTTGTGAACGCAGCATAATGCAGTTCAGAAAACACTGTTCTGTCGCTTTTAAAGCAACTTCGAGATTTTAACAGTATCAGGGGCACACAGGCCATGGTGGCCGGAGGACGTACAATTATTTGTAGGGCAAAACGGCCTACCTACCCTAAAGTAGCATTGATAATATAGTAACGTTACTGGCAGGACTGTTGATACTGATCCATAACAGAGCAGGGAAGGAGGGGGGGGGGGAAGAGAGCAGCGAAGGGGGGGAGCATTGAAGTCTCGTCTCTTTGTCTGCACAAAACGAACCCAGGACCGAAAGCTAGCTAGCTTTCTTTTCCTGTTAGGGAAATAGTGGACTCGATGTCCTGACAGGCTGGTATTTGTGCAACCTGCACAAACACAATACTGCACCATGATTACAAATGTTGAAATACAATGTAAAACTACCAAAAAATACCAGCTCACTAAAACACAACCGCTCAACGCAACTACTAACTATTCCCGCGGTCAGAGAGCGGAGATGTGTCCCCTTTGTGATGTAATATGACGCGTTTGACGTATGACCTAAAAAGAAAGCCGTTTTTAAGAGCAGAGCTCAAAATTGCTCCTTTCCCTCTGAATTCCTGCCCTTATGTCTCGTAAAACATATAAAATCCTGCATTCACTTTTTTAATTGTAATTTTCAAGCAAGAAGCATAAATGTAGAAAAAAAAAACCCTGCAAGTTGCTCTTTAAAGTGGAAACATGACATGAATGGTACATGAAAAAAATCTCTTACCTGACGATGCTTGTATGAAACGGCTTTCAAGTTCTCATTGACCTTACAGAAGGGTACTTTGATTTTGCAGTTTAGTTACTACAGCTCAAAATAAATTGATGCACTGTGTTGATTAAATGCTGTTTCATTATGGAAGACCATCTGGAAAGGTGTCACCTCTAAAGCTTCTCCTGGGAAGGACACCGTTACCTTGAGCTTCAGGAGCAGTAGAAGTGATAAGAAATCTTAAAATGACGTGGGTGGAGAGAATGAGACAACATATTGTTTTAAGGTGTCGGTCTGGTACCAGAAAATAACTGTGTAATGTAATTGATGGTTTGGTGATATTATCTGAGGAGTTTAGCAGAACCAGCAGTTAAGCACAGGAACAGCTTGGCTCCAGGACGGAACAATCTGAAAGTCCTTGACACCGTAATTGCTTTGTGCTGAACATGAATACAGTTCTCCTGCTTTAGTCACAGCAGTACAAAAAGCACTGGGGCTTTTAAAAGACTGGAAACATAGAAACAACAGGCAACTAAAATATTCCTACCTGTCCCTAGATTCACTAACAAACAACACTATTTTGTTTTACAGGAGGTTATAAATAGAGAGTTTCTTGGAAGTTAGTACCTTGAGTTTTGCCGTACCCGGGAGGTTGTTCAAAGCCAAGAGATGTTAGCGCACAGAAATAAAAGAATCCTTACCCTTCAGTATTTGCATGTTGTAGGCTAATACAAAGAGTAAGAATAAGTGCGCAACAACTGATGAATTTAGTTTCCTTCAGACAGATCCAGCTAGCTATTTCCTGCTGTATCCTGAAGTAATGTTAAGCTAGTCTAACCAGCTGCCAGTTGTACATTCATATTTAGTGGATCAATCTAACTCTCTGCAACAAAGTGAATACTTACACTACACACTAGAGGATTTCTCCGAATAGGTCATATGTGGGGCCTATGTGCAGAATTTCGCTAAAACATCAGAAATACCCGATAAAGTTTATCTATTCGTATAAAGGCCGTCTATATATAAAAGTGACCTTTTTCTGATTAGACCACTGGGATAAGACAATTACGTTCTGTTTCCTTCCACTGTCCCTTCCGCTGTCTGTTGCTGTATTTAAAGTCCCTGTCCACCAGCAGGAAAAACGACATCCGCTTAAGCTATCAAGCTACATGCTAATTAACTGCACAAGCACTGGGCTGTGCATGAGGCAGTTAGTGTGCCCTGTGTGAATGTCCCATAATAAAGGTGCACTCAGCACAGTTTAGGCTCTTATCACCGAGAGTGAGTTTCCCTCTTGTGCCAGTAGCCTATCTGTGAATTGACAGATGGTATCAAGGCTGCAAGAAAATAAACATATATTGACGTTAATAATGGCGTCACCTTGTGCAGCAGGTCAGAAAATGTGATGAATGTGGAAATGATACGCATAAAGAAAACTAGTTATGATCCTAATCTAATTGTGTTTTAATTGGCTATCATATGTTGTGCTAAACTGTGGGGATGAAACTATGACACTTGTTCTATGCAGTACTAGTGTGAACTCGAGCAAACAACAAACACATTTCCTCAACATTAAACAAGGCTGAGGTGTCCACTGAGGGCAGCTGGAGAGACGTGATGTTTGTTTTGTAAACCTGCCAAGAGCTGAAAGGATAGGCTGATCTGAGAATTAGGGATTAATCAAGGTTTAAGCCCCTTGACTGAAGCGCAACTAGGCGAGAGACGAGAAGGGGACTCCCACTGAATTCAGCAGGAACCATGTTATGGGTTTTTGTGTATTCATGGTACTGAAACTGATATAAATACACACACTATTTCTGATATATTTATATATTTTGATCATCTGCAAGAGTTGTAAATGTCGTGAAATAATTGATGTGTAGAAATGACTTTACATGAATGTTTAAATAACTTTCTGCCCACAAAGACAATGTTGCAACTCCTGACAAGAAATCAAATGTTTTTTTCACAAAGTTGAACTATTTCCCAACAATGTTAGTCAGACGCAATGAATGAGTAAAGTGATCATTTTATGCCAGAACTACACTTTTTTAACTACACAGCGTACTGTGAGGGCATCTGAACTGACAAAGCAATAAAGAAAAAGTAACGGGAAGCTTATTTCCCTGCAGCCCATAGGACAAGACATGGGTATCTTTACAAGGTAGCACAACATTGAAAAAGTGCTGTAAAGATAATAAAAGAGTGACTCCATATCCGTTAAGATAAGAGAGGGAAACTGTGGAGGAAACATTAATGGCCATATTTGGTAGAGCAGGACACAAGAGAGGAAATGCTAGCTGGCGTGTTTTTGGGGTTCATGTGACAGCTGAATTTGAAAACAATGACAGGCTCTATAATATGGTTTACACAGATGACAGAGAGGAAGGAAACATAAACAAAGGATTTGGTGAAGGAATCCAGCTCCAGTGCGGGCCCTCCATTGTATGGCATTAAAGATGAAGGTAGAAACAAAAATACAAGCGTGGCTTCTGAAGACAAAGAGTCGACAGGGATTGGGACGAAGAGGAAACAGGACGAGAGGCGATAGTAAGGTTGATTACAATTCCTTTTGGGAAAAGATGCTGTTTCTGTCAAAACAGATGGCAGCTGGTAAAGAGGATTAGTTACTTCTGTTTCCAACACTACTTCAGACTGATCAACCCCCCCAAACACAGACAAACACACACACACGGACAAACACACACACACTGCGCTCACAGATCTTCAACTGTTTCCTCTCATCCCAGCCCAACACTCGACCCTGTGTCACACTCACTGGAAGAACAACACAGCTGGGATCAGGAGGAGTCGTGATGTTCCAGATCCATACGACTCCACTCCATCAACCAACATTTTGGACTGTTGCCAAAGCATGGAAGACAATGTATTTGTTCCATTTGTATCTTCATAGATGTGGGATTTATTAAAGAGAATCCTGTTGACAACTTCAAACTTCCTGTTGTAGTGTTGGCCATCATTACCCCAACCAATGAGGTTACGTCTTCGATGTGTTGAGTGTCTGTCTGTAAAAACATCCTAATGTTCATGTCACTTGAAAGGGCTTAGCATGGGATAAGGATCTCATTCCTCTGCATGTTTTTAAAGCTAGGCTAAATGAAATGCTTGTTGATACTATGGGCACTTGTAAATGTCTATAACTAGGTAAATGTATCCTGTAAATATAATGTATGATGTCCTTTATTGTTTTATGTTTCATGTGGAACCTATATGCGGCAGGTCTCCCTTGACATAGAGATCTATGATCTCAATGGGACCAATCGGATTAAATAAAGGTTTGAAATGAAAAAATGAAAGGAAGAACCCATCCAGATACACCTAAGTGTGTATTTTCACTTTCATAAACATTCTGAGGCATTTAGCCTTGGCGTAGGTCAATGCTTTCTGACTTCCTACTATCTTTTGGTTATGGTAATATTATTGTACTTATAGGAACAAAGTGACATTAATTTGAATAAAGGGGATGTAAACAAAAGCGTTCACACAGTTAGACAGGTTTGAACAAACCTACAAGTTAGCAATATTATTCAAGCAGTGTATTTTTGGGGTAAAACCCAAATGTTGGTAAACTGTGTGCATGACTAGGACATTCACATTTAAACCAGGAAACAGACGGTAAACTGTGGATATCCCTCTAACTGCTCTTGTTTTAGATGTCAAATCAGTTTTCAGTGTTTCAATTTTGTGAGGATGTTATCATTGAGAGGAATTAATTATTGTTCAGTTACTTTTTGGATAATAACCATATTATCTTTCTTGGGGAAAGTCAATCAAGAGTTCAACACTGATCTTCTCACCCCTGCTGTAAGGGAAGGAATGCATTCCCAAAACGTCAAACTATAACTTAAGGCAACTTTATACAACAGTGTGTTACATTTGTATCAGTGCATGCTTATGGGCATGTTTGTGACCAATACACATTGGCAAATGAATATTACAAGAATAATCAGACAACACATCTCACTTCATCAGTTGGTTGGTTTATTTATCATTAGCATGGACACCAAATGTACTCTACTGTTTCTCTTGCTATCATAGGAGATGCATTTTGAATTGTAAACAGTGAAAATGATCAAATGCATTTCAGAAAACTCCTTACAAGCAGTGTATGACCAGGGAAAAGAGCAGATTGTGCCTGCTCTAGCTTTTTCTTTTAAACAATACATGTCATCTTATAGTTTCGAGTCTCTCATATTTACATAGTTACAGCTGGGTCCCATGTTCACCAGCAGAGACCTATGGGTTTGATGTTTTTCTTTGTTTTTAATGTGTTATCACAGTTTTCTTAAAGAATTATATTTACAACCATAACAGCCCCCAGCTGCCTGCTGCCAGGGGTTAACACACAGTTAGAATCACTTGCTTAAAATTAATTAAACTACTTATGGTTCTTGAAAGTTTACGTTGTAAGTCAACCTTATAGCTCTATGTGTTTTTCTCTCTTAACAAATACAGTTAATACAGAGCTCAAGCCATTCATCTTTCCCATACAAATTCAAAACTATACAAATAAATGAACAAACCAAACATAACAATCAAATAAAAAAACAATATTGCACTTAAAGTTCAGGCATTGGACCTGTTTAATGGTTAAGAGGAAAGTGAGAGCTTTTTAGCTGAGTGCTTTAGAGGAGGTGAGGGTGTCTGTAGAAGCATCCAGCAAGTTAATCTAAATAAATAGGCAAACCTTTGTACAACATTTTTTTTTTTTCCTCCAACAAGAAACGAGCAACCTCTTGTGTATTGCTCAGGAGAAACTGGGAGTGCAGGTTGGAACGCTAAAGCATAGAAAAACACTGAGTGTGTAGAAAAACCAAAGATAAACCAAGCTGGAACCTGTCGTGGCAATGTCCTGAGAAAAAGCTTCCTCGATTAGTCCAGAATGAGCTACAATGGTAAAGCAAATGTCGTTTGGCTGCTCGGAACATTTTATTCTTCAGTTTTCGTTCCTTGTTGTAAACAGTCTTTGGAGACAGGAAGCAAGTCGTCTTTTTTTCTTCCGCTACTGGCTTTGAATGCGACTTTAAATGTCTTTTAATGTGAGAGTGACACATATCTGCGTTTCATCACAGCTCCAGTCCATCCGTTATTTATACGTTTGTGTTCTTTACCCATTTCTGTCTCCATCTTTGTCTTTCCACAGTCTTGGGATGCACTAAGGGGAAAGCTGTTTGCAGAAGCTTTACAGGAGGGTGCAGGTGTTTAACAGAGATGTGCGTGAAACAGCCATTATGCTAGCTTTCATTCAGACATCCTGTTTTTTTTACCCCTCTTTTAATACAGTTTGAATGAGAAAAAAACATGAAGGGAAAGGACTTTGTGTCGTACCGACAGCTTTGAAGTGGCTTCACAGAGAACATGGTGGAGGAAAGGAGGGGATTTAAAGTGGGAGTCTTAAAAGGAAATTAAGGAAAAAAAGTGACAAAACAGTACCGGACTGTCTTCATGTCTGCAGGGTTTTCTGAGCAACCCCTCTTTCTTCTCCAGTACAACTGGGGAAAAACGTAGAAACACAACCAAAAGACTGACACCACAAAAAAGAGAAACAGTGATCAGACACTAGCTCCTGCTCCAGCCCTCGCCTGTGGGCTTCTGTACTTTTGACACAACCATCCATCCATCCATTCATCCGTCCATTCATTCATCCATCCACCTGGTAACTGTGTAAACTACATTCCTTTGCAGTGCCATAGCTTTGCCACGTCCTCTCACATCACAACAACAATAACAAAATCATAGTGGACAGGATGACATACACAACCAAAAAGTAAAAAAAAAAAAAAGGCAAACAAAGACACCTCCCGCCCGCTCTACTTTTTTTCAAGTCTGACCCTTTTTTTCTCTCGACATGATTCTCTTCTCCATAGATCTTTTCAGGGCTCTTATGAAGAAGATGAAGTCGGAGTGGAGCTAGCCTTTTTTTGGTTGATTAAGTCCACGTAGAGTTCTGAGCGCAGGAATCGGGGGTATGAGTCCTTCTCCATCAGCCCGTATATCCGCCTCTGTGCTAGGTCAAAGCAGGAGCGTGTCACATTCTGCAGGTTGTCCTTAGTGTGATCTCTGGTGTAAGAGTCCAGATTGACCTGCAGGGAGAAACAGATCAAAACAAGTTAGAGAAGTGCACAAAGATACTTTGAAGAAATACCAGGAGGAGAAATGCATGTTGTTGTTTTTTTTGCAGGAAGCTGTTTTGATGCCATCCCCCCCCCCCTGTGTGTGTGAACTCTCACTCACCTCTTTACAAGACTGGATCGCGATGTATTCTGCAAAGATTTTCTTGGCTTTGGAGGCCATCTTGGACTGCGACTTAACCTTCTTGTATTCCTCACATGCGAGCCAGAATTCCAGATTCTCCTCGCTGAACTCGGTGCGCAGGAAAGCTCTGAACGCTGCCAGGCCATCTGAGAGAAAGCAGAGAGGAGGAGGTGGAGAATAAACAAGAGGAGAGTTGACTCGAGTGCCATGGCAACCTCACAGCCCAAGCGCTCCTTGGAGTTTCAGAGACCAAAATAGCGCTGTGACGGCCTCTTGAATCATGTGGTTGGAATAAAGTGAGGCATAAAAAAACCCTAACAACACTGCGGGGTACATTCAAGTCTTAACATCTTTAAGGTGACATCACCCACCCTGCAGCATGACATCTTTGCATTCCCCTTTACCCATGCTGTGAATGAACAAAGGGAAGACTGTTTCAGTGCAAGAGGAAAATGACTAACTCGGGCACTTTTTTTTCTAGTGTAAAAGGGCTAATTCTGGCACTTTGGGCATTTCAAGTTTCAATCCAGTGAATGATTTGAGGAAGAAGGCATCCAGAAGAAAGAATAGCAGGAAGCTGTGTCCACCCACTTCTCCCGCCTGCACCTTTCCGTTCCCATGAATCACCCACGCCACGCTGATAAGCAGAGCCAGTGAAGGCAGTCATCTCTTACCTCATTCTGGTAAGCAGGAGTGAGGTAAGAGGAAATAAGAAGGGGGGAGAGAAAAGAGGCCAACTGAGCCCAACGAGGAACAGATGTCGGGCTGGCTTTCTATCGGCTTTTGAGAAGAATTGGGATTCAACAGTGGGGAAGATAAACTGTGTGGGGGGGGGGGAATAGCAACACACTTGCAGGTTGCCTGTTTTAGCCTGTGTGTGTGTGTGTGTGTGTGTGTGTGTGTGTGTGATCCATATATCAGTGCATATGTTTCCCTGTGCTCCCCACCCTCCCCCCGCCACCTCATGCAACCACTGTATGTCTACATTAACCAAGTATCTACAACAGTTTTGCACTTTCATCATGTTGCACAGTCTATCAAAAACAAAAAGACACATGATAGCCATGTAGGTTAAGGAGTAGATGAGAAACACAAGACATACAAAAGGAATACAAAAGTGACTTACATTTGTGTGCCAGCAGCTTATCAAGCGAGTCCCCCCATTTGAGTGCTTCCTCTGCGGTGGGCCTGCAGATAAAAGCAGAGCGATTCTTTAACAAGCCCATCTCAGCCAGGTTTCTCATTGTGTGACCCATCCGCAGAACTTTGTCTATGCTGTGTGGACGAGTGGAAACCGATGCAGGTAATTCCTCTCCGTTGTGTCCCTCCTCTCTAGTCTACTGCTCTTCTCCTCTCATGCGGTTCTGCTTTGTGAAAGCTGAGAGCACTGAGAGCCATGAGTTTATCTGCTTTACCCTGGTGGGGGGAAGCTTATATATTCCCACTCAATGCCACTTGGAAGGAGGGAGAGGAGGGGCTCCAGCCAACCAATGGGGATGTGTTGTCAGATTTAGAGACCTCCTCCCCCACCATTGTTTGGCTGCCCCCTGCTGCCTCTCATTCTTTCTGTAGACTGCTGTAAAGCATGCCTCTTTACAGGGATCATCTGTAATACACATCTCAGGTCTTAACTTATACTGTAAAACAAGTTTGATATGTTATCGATTTTACATTTTAGTGTATGTGGATGTTTTATGTGCCTTTTTTGTTTTCAGCAGACATTCATGTTGAAAATTAGTTTTAAAAATGCTGTTTTATTGTTTATTTTACTGTTATGTCTAAGAAACAATTAAGAACAGATATTGCATTCATATGTTGAAGCAGCTGCTTGTCAATGTGCCAGCTTTTTAAAGTTATAAAATGGAAGACATTTTAATACATTTATCTATAACAGCATACGCTATATTTTACATTATCTATATAAATAAAAATCCAATGCCAAGACACAAAATTAGCTATCTCCCCTTCAAATGCGCCATTGTTAAAATAAACATTCTCTCATTCATTTCGTTAACGCCACACATTACAAGCACCCTCCAATCCCTGCTGCTGCCCACATGTCTGTCTGCCAAGGCCAGCTCATCACCAGTTGTGGCAAGACCCGGAAAACAGTCTCACTCCCACCCACATGCACACACTGTCAGGAAGTGGCCACTTACTTGACTGACTTCATAGATTTGTCTAACTTGCTGGCTGGGTTGCTTCCTGGGGATTCATTCCTCCTCCGCAGGAAAGCCAGCCGATTCTTCATGTCTTTGGCCCTGGGTGAAGGACAGATAGAGAGAGGGAGAACAAAGGGGAGAGTGAAGGAAAGGTTTATGATAACAGAAGGAGAGTTAAGAAGGTAAATGGAATGAGGATGAAAGGAATGATAAAGGGGACAGAGGAGGTGGACAAAAGGAGACATGGGAAGAAAGTGTGTTGAGCCCGAGTCCAAAGTCCACAACTAAAACAATCCAAGCCAAGGGAATCACCCATTAAGATATTCCGCATTGTAAATCCACATGAAATCAAACCCACAAAAGCCAGAAAAGGTTGAAAATAAACGTTGTATTGTGTACATTTTAGTCTTCAGCCAGGTGTGTCAGCCAAAACTTTTCTAAAAAAGCGGCTGTCAAGCTCCCTTTCCCCGCTTCGTGTCAGCGCCTCGCCTGTCAATCTAATATCTCTAACAGTCTTTCGTGTAGATGCGTCCCTGGCAGGTTCCTCGGCAGGGACTGAGCGAATGTGGCAGAGAAGGAGGAGAGAGACTCAATCCTCACTCCTCTGTTTCATCACGCCATCTCCATGTGCCTAGAGGGCTTGCTGAGAGGGAGGTGACCCAGGGCCGAGGCAACAGGGCACAGTGACCCCTATTCTGCTGCTCGCCTGCAGCAGCATCCAAAACCCCCTGACCGACCTGTTTCACCTTCGAACCATCACACACACACGCTGCCATCATGCGCCACCTTAAATCTCACACAAGGTGATACACCAACCCTCGGTCCCCAAGGGTTCGTACAGAATCCTGCGCATTCCCATAATCCCATGGTGCCTGTCCTGGCTTTTCCCGACCCGGAGCACGTGCTGCCTCATTGGGATGTGACCTCACTCAACACCCATTTCCTGAGTCCCTGCTTTTGATTTCCACTGTGGATTGGCTGGCCCGCTAATAATGCAGCACGGCGGTGTGAGCTAATCACTGCAAGCTGTGCCACCGCCAGCCATCAGCCCCCAGGAGGGCATGTACACCCCAAATTCGGAAACAAGGCTTCCAGTTATAGACACTTATGATTCTAACGTGCACACACAGGGGGTTGGAAGAACTCACAACTGCGGATTAGCACAAGAACTGTACAGAAATGTACTTGGATAGGGATTAAAGAAACACCCACATGTATATGTCAAAGAACCCCGTCTGCACCTGTGCCAACTCATGCCCACTTCACTGGTGCCTTCATGCCTATCACAGGTGTCGGAGAACTCCCAGTCTCCACCGGTGAGTGATGGGAAGTGGGAGAGATAATTTATGCGTGCGTAGATGCACGGTGGTTACATTCGTGGCTGCGGGACCGAACAGAGAACACAGTCAGCTGTCTGGTGTGAGGTTTTCCAACTGCCGAAGGACAGGAAAGGTAGAAACATGCCCGCACACATGATACAACATGACTGCATGAGCTGTTGGGGAACAGCAGCTGAATAGCTCCTTTAAAAATCACGATGAGTGCGACTTTGTGGGTGTATTGATTTTGGTTTGTTTGGGTTTGGGGGGGTTAGCTGGTGCAGATTACTTTAGGTGATTCAGAAAACCACAGGAGGCCTTTTTCAGCGCATTTCTAAAGTTCAGGAGGGTGGAAATGCCAAATGAGTGAAATAGAAAATAGATGTACAAGCAATAAATAGAAAAAGCAAAAGCATCCATCAGTGTGGATATCCGGAATGTGGAAGGTTTTTCTTTTTCCCGGGCAAGATAAGTGGAAAAAGATTGAAATTCCCAAAATAGACTCAAAACAAAAGACAGAGTGAAAGACGTTTAGAGGACACATTTTAAATGAATTCCACATCTAATCCTAAGAAATACCGGACCGGCCACACAGCATCACTGGTGGAGGTATGACTCATCCATTGATTGAAACAACCTCTGTGTCCTGTATGAAGCAGGATTATACCAGATGCTGAACTGCTGTATTAAGACCTCTCTTTTATTACAAACATCAGGGCGCTCTTAGGCAGTACCCCTGTGTAACGCTTACATTTGCCAGCCTGAAGGACATTATCACGCAAATAAAAACTCTCTTGCTGTTAAATAAACTCATAACATCAGAGCGGGATTCATTAGATGGTTCTATTTGTAGGCCGCTCGAGGCAATTAGGTCTTGAGCGGTTCATGTGTTAGCTCCAAGACAGCCTCCTTCTTGTGACGAAGAGAAGTGTTTTATATGGGCTGGAAAATATTTTCCTGGCCTGACAAAAGACACCTTATTATTTATGTCTGGCTTTATACAAGCTGAGCCCGTGTGAGTATGATGTGACAATGATGTCATGGCAACAGTCACTTTAAGATAAATGTATGTTTCTATCCTGCCACCATGTGGGTGTCAATGGATACTGCAAACACAACACATGGCATTTTCCTGCCTCAAGCAGAACTGATTGCCTGAAATTCTTCTATTCCCAATAATTGGTGTCAACACTGGAAACAGCTTGATCCTACATAATCCTAGGATCTATACTTGAATACAGAACTGAAACTATTCTTGAAAACATCTCATTTATATTGCATATCATGTAGCTGCCTCATTCAAACCACTTTACATTGGCAACTGCAGAAATCCTTTTCTCACCTCTGCATAATAGGTCACACTGTGGGAGGTGTGGGAAACTCAAGCCATAATTGAAACTGCCTGCATGGTTATTAACTCAATGGGAGTCAACAGCAACTCCGACTTGAAGGAAGGCCACAATACTCCTCCCTAAATGTGGGCAGACACATCCTTCTTTCTTTGAACAGCGACAGCCAGTGGGCTAACATTCATGTCTGTGACCTCCAGACGTAGAGGATTGCATTGTTATAAAAAACTATTAGCATGTTGAGTAAAACCTTCTTGGGTGGAACTCTAAACACTTAACTCTGACTTACAACAAGAGGAGAAATGGACTGATTCAGCCACACTCTTAGGTCAACTTCAACCACGGTCACAGATATCTCCTTATCAGTTTTATTCAATATCATAGATGGAAAGTAGTGTTGTACTTGAGTCTATTTCGAGGAATGTCACTCAAGAATGATATTGCACCCAGTTCTCTTAGCACCTAGTGCTAATGGCACCTCTCACAGTCTCTCACGTTGAGCACCTCTGTATTTAGAGTTGAAACTAGAGATGTCCCGATCCGATCACGTGATCGGGGATCGGAGCCGATCACGTGATTTTCAAAAGATCGGAATCGGGAGGAAAAAAATCGGGGATCGGGATTTTTTTTTTTTTTTTTTTATAAATACTTTTTTTTCAAGTTTTTATTCAATGTTACAAAACAAAAATGACCATGTTCAAGTCTTAAAGTCATCCTGAGGCCTTAGTTTTGGTTTCAAATTACACAACATCATGTATGTGTTACTTCTTTGGGGCTTGTTTTCATAGACCTGGTTGCTTATTTCTCTCAAATCTGGCAACAGAGTGGGCGCAGTGTCTAATTGTAGCAGTAAGCTAACGAGTACTGAAAGCTTTATTTTGTTTTGATCCAATGCTGCACAACTGAACTGATCCAATGCTGCTGTGAAAGAAAGAAGCTATATCCATGTTGGATAGAATATCCAACATGGATATAGCTTTAAATAAAAAAAATAACCTTAAGGGACAACTTGAATGCTTTTTTCTTTTTTTTCTCTTAATGCATTGCAAATTGTCAAAATCAAATGATCGGAATCGGATCGGGAGCAAAAAAAGGTGATCGGGACATCCCTAGTTGAAACTTTACTGTATCTGCAAATAGCTCCCCAGCACTAAAACCATTCACAGTGTACACTAATGACACACACTGAACCCTCCACTTAATCTGCTAAAAGACAGACACATGCTCTTTAAAGGATTATCAAATGATGACGATCTTTGATCCAACATGTTTGCCGTCCATAAATGTATGCTCCAATACCCAGCAAGCTCACAAAATGCCTATGTTTGCAGCATGTGAACACCTGAGTGTCTGTTTGTGTCTTTGCAAGAGAGCGATGTATGTGCTTGAGTGAAGAAGTGAGAGGTTTTCGTCTCCACAATTATCTGCAGGTTTCCGTCCTCTTATTCCCTCTTTGCTTGGCTCACATTATATACACTAATAGCACCCCACCGGCTATTCCTGGTGCTCTGGAAAGTAGGCCGCACTCCCAGGGAAAGGCTCTGGGAGCACATGGTCGAGAACTGCAGACAGACACACTGCAGATCACAAAGAACCATGCTAACACAAGCCAAATCCACCGGCCCATTTCATCCCACCTTTGTTGTTTGCTATGTAGAGCTTTGTCTCCCACAAAGAGAGGACTCTGCCCTTTGTAAAGCCTATGAGATTTGGGGTGCAGTGATGAGTACAGAATTGAAATACAGTCAGTGAGAGCAGCAGCCAAGTTTCAAGCATGTTTCTGACTCCCTCTGCCACTTTCTATTTAGAGAAGGCTGTGTATGCAGAACACGCCACACCAACAACACTGTTGAAGCGCGTGGCTCTGTGTGTGCCTCTGTGTGAGAGTATTGGGTCAAGGGTTGTGTCAGTGTGTCTGTAACACTTGAAATAACATTTCTATGGCTTGGGCTCTGTCTAAAAAGATGATTACACACTGTAACTGTTTGTTCTGTACTTTGCTCACATACAAAATACTCCAGAGAGGTGACAGATGACACACTGTAACACAAAAAGAAAGAGAAGTGCCTCACAACAAAGAAAGTCACTCTACCATGTTCCTAGAAGCAAAATGAAAAAGGGAATTGTCCTAAATTTCATCCATAAATATATCGCTATGTCATTCACAGTCTCCCTCGATCAAACCCCCCAAAAAGCTCTATTTCTGAGCACACTCACCTTCCTAGCCACCAAGACCACATGAGCAATCCTATTCCTGAAATCCAGGCTGCGTATAATAAGAAAAAGGGGCAGCCTCGAGTTAGAACTCAAAACTCCTTTCTCCAAAATAGTTTGAGCCCTTTGGTCTCACGGGGGTTTCGTCTCCCTCACTGCGACTGTCAAATGAGATCCATGTAGAGGTCAGATAGCTTCCTACCAGCTTTAGAGCATCGATTCCTGTGGGATGTATCACAGCCCCCTCCCACGCTTCCCTCATCCTCTCTTCTGATGTCTCTTATTCTCGATAATCAAAGTGCAGATGAGCCTTGCTCTTACCTTTCCAGGTACTTCTCTGAGAAATCAACCATAGTGTGAAACATGGGTGCCAGCCTGTACGCAGGTTCACTTGGTGGGTGTGGAAACAAGACTGCATGAAAGCGTGTGTCAGGAGGTGCTCGGGGGCCAGGGGTTTGTTTGACAATCACATTCCTCTAACCCCTGAGAGGATGTGTTGGAGCTTTATATAGTTTGGGGGGTCTGGGGAAGGCGGACCCTGGGCTAACCCAATCACCACGCAGAGTTAAGAGAGCACAGATTCCTTCCACTGGGGTCTGGAGATTTTTGTTTTGTTTATGGGTTGGTAAGTGGAGGTGACAGTTGTCTTTTGAGGAAAATCAATGACTTTACTAATGTAAGGAACTGTTCATCTGTCTCAGAGCAAATCAGTGGTATAAAGCTCTGTTTTAAGCATCACGCTACAAGAGAGACTTAAAAAGCATCAAAGTATCATATTATCTCGTCTGTAGTTTGTGCAGTGAATGCTTGTTCGCGTTAAATTGAATTCAATAAGTAATAACTGGCTTAGTTTCTGTCTGAGTGACAATACAATCTAATCTATTCAATCAGGAACTGAAAATACATGAAATTGAAAATATTTGTAGTTTTCTCCCTGTTTACTTTATCTGATGGGGTTTAGTCATGTTTTAAACATGATGTTACAACCTCAAGTGCTGATGCTTGATTCAAGGTTGTGTGTTGTCCCTCTGATGCAATAAATGTACAGTCAGTGTAAGTCCAGACAGAGTCGTGTTATAAGTTTAATGTATGAAACTTAAGGTCTATTAGTATGTAGAAATCCAACTTTGTCTCAATCTAACAAAGTTAATGAAAAAGCGTTAACAAAGTTCTTGTGGGGAATACAATTCCACAGATTCTACACATCAAAGCTTGCTTCGAGGCCTTTGGGGGTGTTTCTGCATGAAAACTGTCAAAAGTAATAAACAGAGTTGCCTCAAGTCATGCTACTTTATTAGATTACAATTGAAATGATGGCGGTCAAGTTGCATTGTGTGATGATAGAAGGATCTTTATTGTCACTGTGCTTAGAACAATGAAAATTGGGGTGAAGTAGTTGCTAGGATTTGACAAGTAAGAAGAATGCATGGAATAAAAACGAATCGACAATGTTGTAGCAGTGCAATGGGTAACATGTGGAGCACTCTTTAAAGCACTATTGTCTCTGGTAATGTGCAATAAGTGCCCTAAGTGTTCACACCTTGAGATCCAGCTGTTATTTCCTTGTCTTTGTTATTTATTTTTTACAAGGTGATGAGATGTTCCCTTTTCAGGGAGTCCACTTAACTGTAAAAGACGTACTTGTAGATGTATTTATATAATCTGAAAGGCGAAGGCGCTTTTTAGACATAATGGCTTTGAGTGGTTCACATAATGTCAGCACTGATTGTACAACAAGGTCAGTGCACATCAAGTCAAACTAAAGAACTAATGTTCATTTCTGCCAACTTTCACGACACACAAAAGGGCCCTCACATGGATTTTGGCAGCAAAACCATGAAAAAACAACAACAACAACAGGTGAAATCAATTGTGTGCCTGGGAACTGCTACAAGGGATGGCACAGGATCAAAACTGTGAACAATATTACTCTCTCAATACTGAGAAGATAACATCAGGTTACAAATATATATAGAGAGATACATATATACATTTATATACAGAAACACAAACATACAGATGTAATATGCTGTGTTTGTAATAAAAACGTCTCTCTCCAATTGTCAATATTTCTTGCCTTTATGAATCAAACTTTGATACCTTGGAATAATCTACATTTCCACACAGATCTCTCTGGTACGCTAGTTGATGGAATTGTATTGCTTTATTGCTACTTGCTGCAAATCACCGGTTGGGAAAAAGCAGTATAGTGCTAAGTGCAGGGATATATAGCTCGGGGTAGCAGAACACCTGGAGTGGGTAACAAAATGTGTTAAAAGGAGGAGAGGAGGCTGAGATAATGTGGACAATGTCAGGAAAACAGCTGTGCTGGGTCCAAAACACTAGACACAGGAAGTACATTCGTACAAAAAGGAGAGAAGAAAGAAGTGTAGGAAGCGCACAGGGGGAAGAAACAGAGCAGAAGAGTGAGCATGTTTAAGAAGTTGATTGCTTTGTCTTTGTTATTGTAAACGATGCATATGGACCCAGTCGTTTGTAGAAGAAGACAGATGTAACATGCTCTCACAAGTAAGTATCATTTCACCTCTATGTGATCAATTTGATTCTTTTCATGCATGTTTGTATGTCAAGAAATGCTGTCATCTTTGTGTCATTAATGATAAGTAGGGTGCTTAAGGGAAGAACAACAGTGTTTACGGAGCAGGATGAACATATTCCAAGTTGCACACAATGCACAGAACAGGAGAAACATTAAGAAGAGAGGAAATAATATCTGCTGCATCTACTACATCCCCAACTCCAAAATAAATCCCATGGCCAAAGGTCAAAATACCTTCTTTAAGCTATACATTTCTGCATTTTAAATTTAATTTGACCAGATCAGATACTTTTTGCCACTAATCTCCATCTACACGCTCCAATGCCTCAGTGTTTGTTATATTTAATATCAGCCTCCAACATCTGGAGGAAATAATTGAATTTACTTTATGTTTAGTTGTATAGAAAGCCTCAGATTTCTATCTATAGCAGCCAACATATTGCATTTGTATTCCTTGGAGGTACACAGAAAGATATTGTATTGGAGGTATGTTTATTGGTGTGATTTCATATTAATAAGTAGATTATTGCCCCGGGTGTTGTTTAGTGTGGCGAAATGAAAAATGGCTGGATATGGGTCTAAAAGATATTATAAGAGATGGCAGGCTCAGATTATTGAGGATAATATGGAAACTAAAAGACACGTGCGTAAACACTAGTGCTCATGAACTTCTCATATTGATTAATGATGCCATAAAATGGTTGCAATCAATGATGGAACTCATTTTGTCTACAAGAGACAGAGACGAAACCTTTTCTTCTTCATCAGCATCACACCTATGCAGTGCAGTGCCTTTTAAAAAGCCACAAACACAGGTGAAACCATTTAAGGTAATTAGTGTTGCACCTGGCGGGCATTTACATCGCAGAGGGACAAGGAAAAGACAGAGCCTGGTCAACTATAAAAAGAGTCTAAATTACTTACTTAGTTAAAAATCTCTTAAAATAAGGGTATTTATGCAAGTGAAGAGGTGGTAAAAAAAAAAGCACAGTGTCTACATACAAAAAAAAAAAATACTAAGTTTACAACCCTAGTACATTTCTTAGTAAACATGTTTTTTTTATGAAGTACTGTGTTCATTTAAATCACAGTTTTGATTCCTTTAAAAACCAAACCAGAATCGTCAGCAAGGACAGAATGATGAGTAAGGAGAGATGAGCTAACATCATGATTCATGTTTGTTTACCTACTGTAGTAAGAAAATCACTGTTTGCAGATCATGGCCTATGAGCTATGTCCACAAATGCTGTTAGCCAAGTTGCAAAGTGTGGCTAGACTCAAATTGATATAACTATTTAACTTGTTATTTGTGTACCCAGTCTGACGTTAAATACAATTGCTCCTTCTTCTTACATTTATTAAAAATGATCACACATTCTAGATTTAATACTGCATTTTAAGGAAATAAATAACATGTTGGAAACCTAAAAAATAAACGATGTATGCTGTTAAGTGTCTGTGTTATTAATGCAAATAAAGCTGGTCTGAAGCAGTTTTGCAGCAGTGGACAAAAGGCAACATATTCCAGATTCAGGGAAAAGGCTGTGGAATCTTAATCACTTAATCTGCTGGTTAACTAAACAACATAAAAACTCAGCTTTTGCAGAAGAATGGGCAGCCATCAGGCCCAAGGACAGCCACTGTGAGTGGTGTCATTGTCCTCTCGGCGTGAAATGTGCTTTCATCTTGATGAACAGGAGCGTGAATAAGGCTCATTGAACAGCTGATGAATCACTGAGGCGTCGACACACATCTTACACACCTTACTTCTCACACGGGCGAGAATGTCAGACACACATGTGTTACTACAGCACACACATCATTCTCCACTTAATTAAGTAGATGATGATCAGCACTGGATGATTAGCTTTCACAGTCACCTTAAGCCTCAAACGTGCTTCTTCATTTGCAGCTCTGTGAACACCTGCAGGTTTCGCTCAGGCGGTCACAGCGGTCAAAATATTTGAATGCACCATTAAAGTGCAAAGAAAAGTCAAATCTGAAACTTATTTTTACATTGACATACACTAAAGTATCCAATAAAGAGAATAACTTTTAAGGTTTTAAATGTAGCCATTGTTGTGTGTATATCTCCTGGCATGTTCCCTAATCCACTCACACCTATACAACACGTTGTCAGGTGAGCCCTGGGGTCTCAATTAACCCCCCATGTGCTTTTTGTTATCACTCACCGATGGTTTAAATATGAGTAAAGAAAAAAGTAATGGATGTTAAAGCAGGGTTTGAAATTAAGACCCTTTTCTGGATACACAAGTTGATTAAATTAGCATGAAAATAAAAGGCTGACTGAGAATTGAAAGCAAAGCCGGTGAAGGAATTTGTCATCACAATGAAAGATATTTTGTGCTTGCTCTCACTCACTCTTATTCCTTTTCGTTCTGACATATTTGTAATCCTTAGTCAAGGCATGTGTTTCCAAATATTGTCACAAGTAAAAACACAACATGCTATTCCCTGTTTACAACTTTCACAATGAGCAGATGGTGAAACTGAAAAAAGACATACACCAAAAAGAAAGGGATTTGCTTGAGTACTTACAGGTTCTTGGATTTCTTCTTCTTTGTTCCTTCGGGGCTGACCTCGCAGCTACAGGGGGATCCGGCGCTCAGCTGAGGGGAGACGAAGGAGAGCACACACTGCATCATCCACCCTCCACACAGAGAGAGGGCTCTGTAGCCTCATGCAGACACTGGGGCTAGCTTTAACTAGCTCCAATAGGCAGTGACAACTTAAGTCAGATAGCAGGCTAGTGAGTCCTCAATGTGTCCAGTTAGGCTACACTGAGACTAGTCGGTAACACACACGGTCAGCCACCAAAATGAATAATCCATAACAGCAGTCCATAGTGTAAATCCCACAAGGCAAAGCTCTCAGAAGTGTGTGTTTTGCGGAAAACAGTCTGACTGTGTGTATGCAGCAGATGGTGTTTGTCAACAGAGGACAAGAAAGTAAGGAAAATCTGCGAGAGTGAGAGAGTGCGAAAGACCACGGCTGTTATTTCTGCTGGCCTCCAACTGTGTCCCTAGGTTGGAAGTGTTGAGCCAAGACCCCCGGTTTCACATTACACTTTCTGCCAACCCACCATTTCCATTGGTTAAAAACGAAAAGGAAGTTGCTGCAGGGTGGGGAAGGGGTCAATCTCTACTAATCTCAAGGCCTGAAGCTGCCCCATTGTGTGTGTGTGTGTGTGTGTGTGTGTGTGTGTGTGTGTGTGTGTGTGTGTGTGTGTGTGTGTGTGTGTGTGTGTGTGTGTGTGTGTGTGTGTAAGTGTGTAAATAATGAGCCATTGTATTACAGGAACACAGTTGAATCTGAGCTAGATACTGGCAACAGCTGCTAACACATGGTGTAATGTTCTCTATCTTGGTGGGACCTAAGTGAGTTTCAGCCTTGAGAGTGAGGACATTTTGGAGAATTGGGTCCATTTTTGGCTGGCCTTCACTTCCTCAAGGTGCTGTTTTAAATAAAACTGACACTACACACACCTCCTGTATGCTTTAAATGACTAAGTCACTTATAATGGACTCCAAATGTCTGTAGAAACCTTTGAGAAGTCCCAACTTCTACCAGCAGTAACATAACAACCCATATTTACTTTCTCTGCCATAAAACGTTTTACCATCGGAATCTACCGTAAGTGCCTGAGTTCATGCCGGCAGCTGTTGTTATCCATCAGTGAGAAAGCTACACACTTTTCACTTCTTGCGAGAAGATCAAAACCAGCTGTTCCCGCCTGTTTCCAGTCAATACTTATTGTATCCTGGCTTTAGATTTACTTTCAACAGATAGATGCAAGAGCTTTATCAATCTTCTTAGCTAATAAAGTGAGTGTGAGTTTTTCAAAAAATGTCAAACTATTCCAATAAGGTTCCATTTCATACTGCAATGTTAATAATGTAATGTTAAACACGCATCACAGCGACGAGGGACCTCATATTAACACAACCACATGGATATGTTTTTGTGTGAATGCCAATTGTACATCCATAGTGAAAATGTGTTTTCTCATTGTGTTTGTGGGACCATAATTATATTGTAAACAATAATGCTAATGCCCATTTGCAAACATATCCTGCTTTATTCATCTATGTAAAGCCACCCTCCATAACACAACTGCCTTTAGTAATATCCTGTTGTGTTTTTTCATTGTTTTTAACATAGTTGCTCGGTTTTGTCTGTTTACAATCCTTGATAGAAGTAGAGCATCCATCTTCCATTTGATGGTCAAGTTAGGAAGTGTACGCTGTAAGGCTCTGCCTAAAGTCACTGTTGACTGTGAAAGGTGAATGAGTGTACGTTGTGTAGGTATTGCCTAAAAATAGAAAAACTTAAGAGCAGGGACAACATATTTGTGTAGCTGCTGTTTGATGCTATACTGACAACATTATCAATGTTTTAAATAAGGTAAAAGATTGTTGGTGCTTTAAGGTATTTAAAACAAGAGTTTGAGGAAAAGACAACTTTGAATATGATGAAAAAACAGGGACAGGTATTAAGTAATTCACTCTATAGAATACAAACTTTAAATGTAGTGAACTGTGTTCTTCAATTTTAGACCTAGAATCAGTTATATTTGATATCATTTATATCCTCCAGCTCCAGTAACTTCATTCTCCAAAAAGTGCTATGTTAGCTTTGATGAGCATGTATTAAGTCATTGAGGGTCACAAGATAAATTGAAATCTAATCAGTAAGCTCAGTGCAAACAGCAAACCAGGGGAATCATAACCCCAGTGGAGCCATTGGACAGGCTTTCCCCTGAAACCACAATAAACAATTGAAAAACAATGCAAGTTTGCGATCTCCAGAGACGTTTGTCCCGACGAAGTCCCTGGGACAGGATTATTCAGGGGATTTAGGAGAACAAGTTATGCTGTGTGGCCATCACAGACCAGAGAGGGATAGTCTGCATGATGGGTCAGTCTTTGTCCACTAGCCGCCCGCACGTAAAGACTGGATGCTCATTCACACCAGAATGCTATGTTTCAGCTGGATGAGATACACAGGGACAGGGAAATGTGTCTTGCTGCTACAACAGGCATCAGCAAGGGGTTAATAAGATGCATGTTTACAATCATAATGTAAAGGGTGCATAATGTCTGAATACATCTACACACTACCAACCACATTTGCAGCAGTAATAAAAGAACAATGTGGATGGTATCCAAGCAGAAGCAGTGAGCAATCTAAGGCTGGACCATAAAACAGAATATTTTGTAAAAGATAGGTCTATATCTATTTTAAGGTATTCTATGTTTCTTTTATTTTTACGTATTCCTTCTGGCAGCCAGACTCCACCTGGGGCCCCTCTACACACAAAAGTGACTTTTACACACAACACACACATTCTCACACACACACAGTCTGCCTGGCAATAACCAGAGAGGCATAAAAAGTACTTTCTAAAAATAGCCCCAGTGTGTGTGTGTGTGTGTGTGTGTGTGTGTGTGTGTGTGTGTGTGTGTGTGTGTGTGTGTGTGTGTGTGTGTGTGTGTGTGTGCTCATGTGTATAGACTCCACGGATGCCTCACTGAAGACAGTAAGAAAACACACGATCTGCCAAAGACCACACGACAGTTAAGCCCCCCCGAGCATGGGATGCAGATGTTGACACGCCGTTATGGGTTGTGGGGTGGCAGATACAAAGATAAAGGTTTACAATGGCTGCATGTGTGCTGCACATGTTTCCTTTTTTAATACCTTTTTCTACATTCCTAGTATAGATACATGCAACCACGTGGGAGGGCAATGCTATAAACTTCCTGGCAATGCTGAAGTAAGTTCTAAATTAACTTATTATTATTAGCGTGTTCATTCAGCCAAAGTCAAGTGAGCTTAGTGTGTGTGGTTGGGAGAGAAGATAGGAAAAAACAAAGGGCTGCTATTCCGATTAGACAAGGACCATTTGCCTGTCTTTGTCTCAATAAACTGTGCATTCTTAACTTAGGCTCTGCACTAACAAACACATTGTAAAAACAATATTCTAAACACAGCTCTGAAACATTCTTGTCCCAGACTCAAAGTCCTCTGAAAACCTAAAAGGTGAAGAAATGAATATTGGTATTTGTGTTTTTAAACTTCTTCTCACAACTTGAACCCTTTAACCTCTACATCTTTTCTTCATCAGACCTCCCTCAGACTGCTTCCTTCCCTCTAATTCCATGGTTTCTTTTTATTTCAACAATTAATTGACAAGAACAATGTTTTAGGGACTCGTGAAACCCATTTTTGTTCAGTGCAGCTTTGGATTTGTGCTACATGTTAAAACCTAATTTTCTGACATTGCGTGGTTCTACTGTGTGATTGTGTGTGGAAAGACAAGAGGTGGAGCTAATATCTGTAAGAAAAAAAGGAGAAACATTTGTTGGTACTTCTGTTTGTATTTACTTTCAGTTTCTGCTATTAAATAAATAAGAGTGCCTTAAAGCTTAACCACAATCGCTGTTTATCAGGATGTAGAATCTATAAAGTGCACAAGTAGAGGAAGAAATGATCCCTAAAATTGTCTCCATGTGACTCTCCAAACCAGACTGCACTACTTTAATTCGCAGGATGTATCTGCTATTGGGGATGCAGAAAACCTGGTTGTAAAACGTCCTACTTGCAAATTCATGTGTAGTTACAAAAGCTATGAGTCATTTTCTATTTCTCAGTTTTATATAATTGAATTCACGTTTTTTTCTTTCTAACCTACACTATTTTTGTTTCCTTTTAACGTCAAACTACTTTGCTGCCTTTGAAAAACTGACAGTGAATGAGCAATAGATAACAGTAGGTTTGTTTGACACATAATGAGGTGGGAATCAAGTCAATTTTCACTCGCTATCTTTGTGAGAGTCAGGCTCATGTTCATTATTAGGCTGTAGCGTCGTCTAATATAGAAAACTGTTTTATATAACAACTAAACTAATAAAAGAACTGCATTAGTTTTAAGTATGTGTGTTTTTTTTTGGATGAAATCACTCATCTTGACTTATTTTGATTATGAGTATTTCTCATGGACACGGACTATTTTCTATACTGGGCTTCAGGAGAGCTGCAGTTTAATACAGGTGTATTTAGTATACGCATTAATTCCAGGTGTGACTTACCCATTAATAATGGCCAGTGTGAATGTGATCCCGAAGGAGATTTATTGAGCAATTCTTTAGTTAGTCTAAAGTTATAATAACTTTCAGTCTAAACAGGCCTTATTTTAATTTGCAAAAATACAATTCCGCCAGCTGTTAATATGTTGAACTCTAATAGCAATTAATTTGCATAACCTGTGTTAGATTACTGGGCAAACAACCTGACACAGCTTGCTTGTTTGATGATAATGTTGGCCATTTCTTGGCCTTGACGACTGTTTGCACTTCCTCGTAGATCTTGGCCAACGAGTAGAAAGAAAATAAGAAAAAGGAGACAAAAAACAGAGCTCCCTCTCTCCGAAGGACATTGGAGTAACAATGGAGCCTTTATAGGAGCCAGAAAACACAGCGAGATATGGAGGAAAAAGATTGAATAAAGCTCCAAACTAAAGAATAAACAAAAAAACGTGGGAGAGAAATCACAAAAACAAATGCTGAACCCATTTTTTTCTCATCGTTCTTTCTTTGATTCATAACAAAGTTTTAATTTGTTGAGAACATTTCTCTGACGCGTTTGACTCTATAATTGTGTTATTAAATAACCTAAACATAGCCTAAATGCCATGTATGGTTTTCCATTGTTTCAATTTATATCACAGGAAATATTTTTTCCAACTTCCTTTACATATAAAAAGGACATTTTGGGGTGGAATAAACTTGTGGTTGTAGAGGAGGGGGTATGATTGTGTGTATGTGTGTGTGTTTCTGAGTGCTTCTGTAATTGGATGTCAGCTGCTGACACATTCACAAAATACACACATACAGTACAATGGCAAAACCACAATATGCACTAATATCTGAAAATAAACTCAATGGCCCACAGACAGGATACTGACTCATTCCTACTCAAACTACATAATGAAAGCAGATACAAAAGGTGCA